CGGTGGCCGGGAGCGGCCAGTGCACTCCAGTCTGGGCAACAGAGTGAGACTCCAACTCAAAAAAAAAAAAGAAAGTAACCAAGACCCAACTTAATTGGTCTCTGCTCATTACAGATATTAGACACACATGCTCCTTGATATGAGAGAGTACAGTTCTCAGTGTTTTCTATCCCAGAAATAACTAGTATGCAGTGGAACAGTATTTGTTGTCAAGAAACCTAGAGCTGCACACAGCTGGGCAACTATCTTTAGTACTCAAAGTTCCAGGAAACCAGATGGTCTTCAGCCTGAAAGAGACACTTTGCCTCCTAACTCCTACTGCCAGACCTCACAGACATTTTAGAGGGGTTGACTTGATATCCAAGGAACCAGTAACTACAGCAATGTAAACTGAGAGCCCATCTAATAGTTAATCAACTCTTTTTTTTTCTTGGAGTTGGAGTTCTTGCTCTGTCACCCAGACTAGAGTGCAGTGGCACGATCATGGCTCACTGCAGCCTCCAACTCCTGGGCTCAAGCGATCCTCTGGTGCTAGCCTCTGGAATAGTTAGAACTACAGGCGCATGCCACCACACCTGGCTAATTTTTTGAATTTTTATAGAGATGGGAGCCCACTATGTTGCCTAGGCTGGCCTCGAACTCCTGGGCTCAAGTGATCTTTCTGCCTTCAGAGGAGAACTTCCAAAGGACTGGGATTATAGGCATGAGCCACTGGGCCAGGCTTTAATCAAATATTAAATGCCAGAGAGCTGAAAGAATGAGGCAGGAGAGAGTACGCTGTTTCCTTACTGAATGGCTCTTTGACAGCATTCTCCACTCCACCTGGTGGCTATCCAAACTAGCTGCTGCGAACAGGCCTCTAGGAAGCCCTCTTTAGAGGGTGTTCCAGGCTGAACTGTGTCCCCTTAAAATTCTATGTTGAAGCTCTGACCCCCAGTACCTCAGAATGTGACTGTATCTGGAGTTTAAAGAGATGATTAAGTTAAGATGAGGCCATTAGGACAGGTCCTAATCCACTGGTGTCCTTAGAAAAGAAAATCTGGAAGAAGAGATGTTATCAACGCATGCCTACAGAGGGAAGACCATGTGGAGACACAGTGAGAAGGCAGCCATGGACAAGCCAACCAAGGTAGTGGTAGAAACCAGATCTACCACTACCTTGATTTTGGACTTCTAGCCTCCAAAAGCATAAGAAATTTCCCTTGTTTAAGCCACACAGTCTGCCTCCCGCAAATACAGGGGGCTCTAAGGAAATGGGGCACTTCCTCCTCCCAGGAGAGTGGGAGACCACCTTCTAGCAGCACACCGTCAAGAGCCTGGGAATGGATGAAGTCAGATTCCCGGGGCTGGCCAGACTTGGTGGCTCACACCTATAATCCTAACACTTTGGGAGACTGAGGCAGGAGGGTTGCTTGAACCCAGGAGTTCAAGACCAGCCTGGGCAACATAGTGAGATCTCGTCTCTATTAAAAAAAAAAAAAAAAAAAAAAGGAAAAATTAGTCAATTAGCTGGGCATGGTGGTGTATGCCTGTAGCTCCAGCTACTCAGGAGGCTGGGGCAGAAGGATTGCCTGAGGCCAAGAGTTTGTGACTGCAGTGAGCCATGATCTTGCCACTGCATTCCATCCAGCCTGGGCAACAGAGTGAGGAAGAGAGAGAGAGAGGGAGAGGGAAGATGGAGGGAGGGAGGGAGGGAGAGAGAGAGGGACACAGTCCCCACAATTACAGTATATAAAAAGTTCCTGAAAGGCAGAGAGAATAGAGACCTATCTCACAGACAATAAAAAGGAAAAAGAAATCTGAAATATGGATTATTTCAAATAGTCATTTGAAACAATTGAACACTATTAATAAATCATAGTGATCCTGATTTGAGAGAGAGACTCAAAGACCGGTCATTGTTCCAAAATTAAATTCCCTGATGTTCAGAAGAAATCTTATGAATCTGTCATGCTCTGGGGAAAGGAATATTCAACAAAAAGCAATCAAGAGAAAGTAGCCTTGTTCATAACTCTGGGATTAATTTACTGTAGCTGATACTTTAAAAAAAAGCCCCAAGTAAATCAGTCCCAGAAATGAAGTTAAACTGAAATGAACACATCTCACCATCTTACGGAGACAACCCAAGCACATACTGGCAATCCATACAACTGCTCCTGGATATTAACCTAAGTACCTTTTTTTATATTTCCAAAAGCATACTTAAAATTATTTCATGCTTCCCAATTCACAGCCCTAAAGGACCCTAACACCTATTTGCCTCAACTCCAAAATGGCTAGGTAAGACATTGAATGACACCCCCCAGAAATCTCAAGGGATAAGGAGCACAGGAGAACTAAAGTGGGACAACCCACACGTCATGAAGAAAACATGAGGTTCAGCTGGGTTCGATGGCTCAGCCTGTAATCCCGCCGCGCCTTTGGAGGTCTGAGGTGAGTGGATTGACTGAGCCCACAGGTTCGAGACCCGCCTGGGCAACTTGAGACCTCATCTCCACAATAAATCAATAAAAATTAGCCGGGCGTGGTAGCACGCGCCTGCAGTTCCAGCTACCTGAAAGGCTGAGGCGGAAGGATCGCCGGAGCCCAACAGGTCGAGGCTGCGGAGGCCGGGAGCGGCCTCTGCCCTCCAGTCTGGGCGACAGAGTGAGCCTCCAACTCAAAAAAAAAAAAAAAGAAAAAGAAAACATGAGGTTCCTCCCTGTGGGCTTGGACCTCCTGCATCTGATCCTGAAAGCCACCGAGCTTGACGTCAGGCTCCCGCGCCCACCCATCTGCACCATGTGCATGGAACACAGGCACACAGTATCTAGCAGAACAAGGACCTGCTAAATCAAGGCTGAAAGAAACACTGGGCCTGCCCGTGGCCATCGGGGTTCCTCCAAGTTTGGTCCACCTGGAATCAGAAGCATCCCGGTCAAGGATGCTCGTTAGAACACAGATACCGGGTCGGGCGCGGTGGCTCACGCCTGTAATCCCAGCACTTTGGGAGGCCGAGGTGAGAGGAGTGCCTGAGCCCACGGATTCGAGACCAGCCTGGGCAACTTGGCGAGACCTCATCTCTACAAAAAACAAAAAACAAAACAAAACAAAAAAATTAGCTGGGCGTGGTGGCACATGCCTGTGGTTCCAGCTACTTGGAAGGCTGAGGCGGAAGGATCGTCTGAGCCCCGCAGGTCGAGGCTGCGGTGGCCGGGAGCCTGCCGCTGCACTCCAGCCTGGGCGACAGAGTGAGCCTCTGACTCACAAAAAAGGCTGATCCCTAGGCCGGGCGCGGTAATAACAGCACTTTGAGAGGCCAAAGCAGGAGGATACAGCTTGAGGCCCGGAGTTCATCCTGGGCAGCATGGCAAGACTTAGTCTCTCTAAAAAAAAATCTAAGAATGAGCCAGCCAAACGTGGGGTGGTGCCTGCCGCGCCAGCCGCCCGGGAGGCTGAGGCGAGAGGATCGCTTGAGCCCAGGAGTTCGGGGCCGCAGTGAGCTACGAGCTCGCCACTGCACTGCAGCCGGGGTGACTGAGCAGGGCCCTCTCCCACATGCAGATTCCTGGGCCCTCAACTTGACGACGGCACACTGCGCCGATCGGGATGCCCGGGGTTCACGAAGGCGCATTTTCACGGCCCCGCCCCGTCCCCGGCGCAGCCCCGCGGCCG